GAGTCCAACGATGGAAGAACTCACCTTCCAACTCTCTAGCTCGTTTCAATAGCTCTTGGCGATTCAAGTTGGCGACCGAGTTCATCTCCTCGTCGTCGACGGCACTCGGGGTGAGCTCCGAGTGGGAGATGGATAGATCGATCGATTTGGCGCTAAATTCTTCTTCCTCCTGAATATTCACGACTTGGAGTGCAACAGGAGCTCCAGCATTTATGCATGGCTATGCTTCCCGGGAGACAACAATACGATAAACCAACAGTAAGATCAGGTGAACATGAAGAGAATCGAAGGACCTGTGCTAAAAACAAGATGGCGTCGGCAAGGATGACGTCACTATCACAACAAAATCAAATGCACGCGGAGTGTACGAATTTTTGGCGGGAAAGACGAAGAACTGTTTGCTGGAGCGGCAAGTAATCGGGCAAACGCTCGGTTCCGTCAGGTTCCCACACTATTCCCGGCTCCCCTGATCGATTTCTTGTAGCCCGATCGATATTCCGTCGTCCGCGGAAGCTCGTGGACTTCAAACAAAGCAACTGGTGTCCGGATCACCGTCGAGCCGCTCTCGATGCTGCAAGAAGCGCGAAAGTTTGAATGTCCATGTCATAGGGCTGATGATCCTCCGATCCGCCAGGCTGGGAACTGCAAGTGAAATCCCCCGACTCTATCCGATTATCTAGCTGTTCTCTTCTTCTTCGGGGCTCATACAACAAACATTCCAAACGCTTCATCAGAGAATTGCTGTTATTCAAAATTATTAATTATTGATCATTTCCTCATTGCTCGTGAATCGTGAATCGTGAACCTACGAGCCGGAGCATGTGGCGCAATCGGACTTCGGCGACGGCTGAGCAAGCCTTGCGCTTTGCAGAGCATCCGGACCTGACGTCTGACGTTGTCCGAGGAGTTCGCCGATGAGGAATATGCGGCTCTGGGCCGACCAAGATCCGGGAGCTGCTACCGCGGAATATCGGTGGGGGACCGCATCAGAGTCTCCTCATCGAGAATTCCGTTGCTCTCTGTGCGCTCGAGCGGCTCTGGTGCCACGCTCTAGGAAAAAACTTCTCGCAGAGATCTCCCGACAAGCTTCACCAACGAAAGTCACGTCCTTCGAAAAGACGAGGACAGAATGAACACTTTCACCATAGAGTGACAACGATGCTACCCGCGAAAGTTTACTTCAGAGAAACATCCGTTTACATTATCCAGGAATTATGAGTGTTCCGTGCTGATTCAACTCTCCGCCTTCGCAGCATCGGATCCATTGGCGTCAACGTATTTCCACAGCCCGTAAGTTTTTCCAACGATCGTTTGCCAGAGTCTCACCGTGCCGTCTTCACTGCCCGAGGCGTAAAGCTCCCCATCGGACGAGAAGGCACAACAATGGACAGGACCGAAATGCCCCTTGAAGGATTCGATTTCTTCACCAGTTTCATAGTTCATTTTATACATTTTGAAATCGTCCCCGCCGCAAACGAAAAACTCCCCAGCTGAGTGCAATGAGGCGGCGTACATTTTACACGGCAATTCGAATTCTCTCATCATCTGGTAATTAACAGTTGACCAGAATGTCACTTTCCTATCCATGGTGATCACGAATTGCTCGCCGTTGGCGGATATCTCTAATGATTGTGGAATTCCCGGCAGTTGTTGCGTGTGAATGCACTCCCCAGATATGAAATCCCACACTCGAATCGACCGGTCATCTCCGACAGACAACAATCGCTTGCCATCGCCAAGAAGTCTCACATATTTAACAGCTCCGTGATGACCATCGAATGTGAACGCTTCCTTGTCGTCTCCCGCCGACAAGTCGAAGCGTCGGATTATCTGGAAACAAGACTGAGATCAGCACCGTTCTCATTGGGTGAGCTCCATCGGGAATACAACTAGATTCGGGTTTTTCGAATTTTCCGGGTCCTACTTTGTCAGCACTGCCCGTCGTCAATTGAGAACCATCCGGGGACAGTTCGACCGCGCGAACAATGTGCTTGTGCGGCAGGGAAAGTTTCTCGTTCCCGGTTGAGAGATCCCAAATCTTTGCTGAGAAGTCCGCAGATCCTGTGGCGGCTAGAGTCGCGCTTGGGTCCATGTGGACGCTCCACACGGCGCCTTTGTGACCTTCGAAAGTGCCTGCCGGAGTCATAAGCTCTGATTTAGAAATATCCAACCGCTGAGGTCGACGATTCCCTGGACCCATCGAAAGCGCACGAGCACCTCCGTTCGGAGAATCTGATCACCAAATCAGAGCCGGAACGCCGATATTCAAAGATGACACGGCTCAGAGGAGTCCAGAGAAATCGCCCGGTTAAGCGACTTCATTGAAACCAGATTCGATTAGTCCGACAACGAGAGCGCCACGAACGACACATCCAATGACTCCAGATATGAGGTGGTGCTTGTATGAGCGGGTTCACCGAGGGGGAGCAGCGGTAGGGTTTCAAAGAACTTACCAATCCAATCGCCTGTGACTCCGTCCCGAAGCATGGGCTTGCCATCTTTGCAGGCTGAGATGAGCAGGCATTTACCGCTCTGACTTCGAGCGAAACAAAGGTCGACGACAGGCCTCGTATGGCCGGAACAAGTGAGAACAACTTGACGTAAATTCGCCGAAGCCATGTTCTACGTGATTGACGGTCGGACCGAATTTATCTGTCCTGCAGCGAGCGAGTTCGTCGCCGCCGCACCGGTGTGTTATTCTCTGCTTTGTGGTCATTGGTCGTCTGCTCGAGTCCCTGCGATCGCGCGGCAACTTCCCGACAGACGGTTCGATAAATTTTCACGCGCACTGTCGCTCTCGCATCGCCTCCAATCTCGAGTGCTTGTGGATGCAGCCCGGAATCCGAAGCTACTAGATTCACTAGATAATAATTATAGGAGACGTTCCTCATCCAACGGGAGAAAAAGAGAGAACCTTCCATCGTCGTTCCCTGTGATACGGTAGTTCTGGTAGTCCTCACTGATCCCGCATTCCGCAACTGTCCTTTACCTACGCGGTACCATTTGGAGGGATGACACAGTCGTCACGACAATGGCACGACAATCGATTTGCGGCCTTCATACAGGGAAATCTATGTATCTATTCGTGACAAGTTCACATTCGTACATGTACGATATGTCAGTCTTCAGCCATGGAGTCTCAACAACAGCAGCCTATTGACCGAACAAATGTCAATATTAATGGATGCATTCCTCTTCGTCTCCCATGAGGCGACGCTTGGGGACGGTCGCGGGTGATCTCCCCCTGGACAGCGCTTGAACTGGGATCCGTGACGAAGAGCGGACGACTCACGACTCGTCGTTGGGTTCGCGACGGGCGTCTCGCGATCCAGAATCTCGGTCCCAGGATGGGAGATCGCGGATAGTCTTCCTCTTGATCTCTCAGCAAGACACCGCGATCCGCAATCTTGAGAGACAGGGGCGATCTTCTCCATGGGAAAAACATTGCGATCGGGAATCCTGAGGCTGGAATGCTGAGACGAGAGGCAGGAGATTCGTGACTTCTTTTGATCACTCCTTGTCATGCTTTTCCGTACCGAATGTCTTGGATCAGGCATCGTTCGATCCACCTAGATAACACCCACCCGGAAAACGACATCCTCAGTTAGTTGTTGCGCAGAGCATGACCTGCACCACGAGTCTCACTACGGGAGTTACTCAGGAGAGCGCGACGATGAGCAGCGAGCGGATCTCTCCCGGATCGTTCACCTGCTTGGCGGAGGGAGAGAGCCTCAGGTCATTGTAATTCCTGACTCCGCCGGCGACGCATTCTTCCTGCAGCAGGCCGCGGAGATGGTGCAAAGTGGGCCTTACGAGCGATTTATCGAAGGCTGAGTCCTTATGTGACTGTTGAAGAGTACGACCGTACGCTGTGAGCCGTACTTTATCTGCTTTGTGATAATCGTCGTTCTCGAGAGGGAAGGAAGAAGGCAAGGTTGGAATGAGATGGAGGGTCGAGCTGATGGAACCATGCCTTGTGAGGCAGGTCGAAACGATGTTCCCATGCTATGTGCGGCAGGTTGAGATCAGAATGATGGACTATTGCCATTCGAGGCATGTTGGCATGGAGCAGCTGTGAGCTCGCATCACGAGTTGATGAGGCACGGCTCGATTATTCGGCAGCCTTTCCACGGTGCCGTTCGATTGGAGTTTTTGAGAAATGAGAAGTAAGTCTGGATGACTGGATAATGAGCTCTCCGAAGAGCCGTCGAGCCTTCGAGAAACCATGTCCGGAGAAGGAGGAGGGTGATCATATCGAGACGGATCTTCCGACTGAAGAGGGATAACAAGGGGCGAATCACGGAATACGAAGCAAAATCGGCCGGTTGAGGATGCGACCAGACGAGGGCAGTGGATTTCGATGGGTCATATTCGGGGTAGAGATGGTGCGGAACATGACGGGGAGAAACTCTAAGGCAAGAGCCGGCTTCATTCCGGGTAGAAGACAAAGTCTGTTCGTGCTGGAGGAGTCGCTCAGCGGTCAGAAGTCCGAAGCGAGCTGGTAGAGTCTGGTGGTTTGAAACCCTTAATGAGTCCTTGAGAGATCTAGGCCTCAGCGAGTTCGGAGCGGAACGGGAGGGCAAGAGGTGCGCATAGTCACCACATGTATATTGTGACGGAGCTCCAGAGGAAGTGGACGGAACCCTGGGAAAGTAACAGCGCCGAGATCGAAAAAGGCGACGGACACATAGGCAGACCTAGGCAAACCATTAGCAGATGCACATGCGGAATCCATAACTTGTAAACTTGTATCTCAAGCGAGATGAGCTTGGCGACCTCGATTCCGACAATTGTTGCTCGGAGTTGGGGTCAGCGGCGAACCCCGGGTCGCTAGACTTCTGCCGCATGTGGATGAGTCTCGTAGAGACTGAACTCCGCGGATCGCGGACCTTCAGTGCCTATCTCTTGTTCGAGTTCGAGGCTTGATAAGACTAGCGGATGAGGAAAAAGAAAAAGACAAAAACCAGAAACACTGAAAAACCCAACCACGGGCCACGGGCAGCCACTCTATGAACCCATGCGTCTATCGCCGTTCTTCTCTATGTGGAGTCCACATAGAGTTCCTTCATGGCAGAGAAGACCATGTCACTGAGTTTTTATGACACGCGAAACGTCCTCTCACACATTCTTCGGAGGAAACTTCACGTGACTCGATGAATGTAGTTGTGCAGTATGTACAGGTTGACTTCCCCCGTCCCCCGTTACCCCGTTCCCTTGTTTCTCCGTTCTCCCGCTTCCCCGTTCTCCCGCTTCCCCGTTCTCCCGCTTCCCCGTTCTCCCGCTTCCCCGTTCTCCCGCTTCCCCGTTCTCCCGCTTCCCCGTTCTCCCGCTTCCCCGTTCTCCCGCTTCCCCGTTTCCCCGTTCTCCCGTGTCCCCGTTCTCCCGTTTCCTCGTTTCCCCGTTTCCCCGTTCTCCCATTCTCCCGTTTCCCGCTACCATGCCAAGTCTAGATAAAGTATTTTTTATTCGGGGTTTGCATCTCATATGGGTGAACGGCTTTCGATGGCACGCATCCGCATATCGTGAATCAAATCTCAATCGAGGAAGGGTCTGCTGCCCGACATGATCAGGGATGTGACTGAAACTCGAACGACTAGATAATCATTGACAGTGAATTCAGAAGGCCAACCGCGAACTCCCGATCGGAAATACGGTCTTCTACCTCTCGAGTACGCGGAAACGACCCGCTGATCCATCAGCAGGGAAGGCGTTCCAGGACTCACTCATGCAGTCTCGGGTTTCCGGCTCGACGACGAAGAAATTTCAGACAGCCCACACAAGATAACTTTGTAATGCCCAACTCTGAGGTAAATCCTTCTCCTCATTGGCTCGCCTTTTCCACACCTGTCCTGCGAAAGTCCGAGGAGGGAGTCTCTACGACAAGCTCAATTCTGTCTGTTCCCAAAGACAATCAGGTAGCAATAAGCAGAAACTGATCACTCGATCGCGATATCGAGTTGCTGTTATTTCTTGATCTTAATCGAAGCAAAGAGAGCAAGGCAGAGTCTGGGTCGATCTGGCAACAGCTGCCTTTAGCGGGCAAGTGACTCAAGCATCGACAGACACTACTCTGCCCTGTTCACAGTGAGTCGTCTCGCTCGGTTCCCCGTGAAGGAGCGGAGACTCCGCAGAGTCTGACGTCGGAGTCGAATCCGTGGACGACGGTTGCGAGTGACTGGGATCGATCCCCGCGCCGGTATTTTCCCCCGTCGATTGTGCGATCTTGGACTTTTCCTGATTGCTGTCATCTGCTCCCGGAAGCGATTCCTCCGTATCCTCTGATGGGATCTCTACCTCTACGCACGGTTCGGGAACGACGGGATCCTGAGGAAAGATTTTCGCCGAGGGTCAGTGGAAGGGCAATTAGTGAGTCGAGGGGTGGCTAGTCAAGACTATCGGTGAGCGCGGGGTCGGAAAGTTGGAAATGTGAAGAACTCAACCGGGGTTTCTCCGACGGAGGGACCGTTTCTCTGAAGTTTATTCTCTCCCGATATCTTTGATTGTCTATGTATTTGTATACAAGATAACACGGGGCTCAATATCCCGTTAGACCCTCACCTCAATCTTGTTATCAGGTTGAGCTTCCAGATCTACGATATTGGCGTCGCCGTTGCTGAGTTCTCCTACGTCGAGAGGAGATACAGTAGGAGCATCAGAAGCTTCGATGGGGGCGACGGAGGGTTCCGCTGAGATGGCGGTAGTTTCAGTCGGAGGGACTGAATCTCCCGCTGGATCGTTGGAAGCTTCAGCTGGTACAACGGGAACCTCTGTCCCAGAGGGAGCGACTGGAGCCTCGACAGGCGCGACGGGAGCCTCAACGGGAGCGGCAGGGGCCTCGACGGGAACGGCTGGAGCCTCAACGGGAGCGGCAGGAGCCTCGACGGGAGCGGCTGGAGCCTCGACGGGAGCGGCTGGAGCCTCAACGGGAGCGGCAGGAGCCTCGACGGGAACGGCTGGAGCCTCAACGGGAGCGGCAGGAGCCTCGATGGGAACGGCTGGAGCCTCAACGGGGACGACCAAAGTCTCAACTGGGGCAAGCGCAGTCTCAACAAGAGCGACCGGAGCGTCAGCAGAATCAACTGGAGCCTCGTTGGGAGTTGCTGGAGCCTCTCCCGCAGCGTCGGGAGCGGCGACAGAGTCGACAGCAGCCTCGTCGGGAGTGACTGAAGCCTCTGCGGCAGCGACTCGAGCCTCAACGGGAGTACTTGAAGCCCCGGCATCATGGTCGGTGGCTTCGGCAACGATGGATTCAGCGGCAAGACTTTCGGGTTCAGTGGCAGGGGCGTCAGCGCCGGCGCTCACGGTACCGGCAGTCACCGCCGGGCTTTCGATCACCTCGTTAGAGCCTCCGGTGGCTTCCACCGCAGACGGAACCGCCGCAGCTTCGCTGTCTTCCGATGATGGGATTCCTGGAGCTGGCTCCGCTTCGGCCTGAGCAGGAGTCTCACCTATAGGGTCCGTGAGCGCGGCTGCCTCTGATTGCGAAGGCAAGGATTTCTCTAGCGATGCGGTGATTTCGGCCGGTGTGTCTTGCACTACGGGAGACGTTGGAACGGTAGGGACTGCAGGTGATCTTTCTTGCTCGGCGGTCACCCCCAGAGGTGGAGCCTCGGGCGTCTTGATTATTACAGCCGGCGATTCTACACCTGCGGCAATGCTCTCGACGGCTACCTCTTTAGCCTCTACAGGTGACTCGACAGTTTCTGAAGCCGCTGTCGGAGCCGATATCGGAGCTCCTTCAATCGGCGTCTGTGGAGCGCCCACCGGAACGGCTGGCTGTTCCGACGCCTTGTTCTCCTCCTGCAACGTAAACGACGTCGTAAATCACCGAGGAAAGAGACATGTGTTCATGGGAAAACCGATCTCACCGATCACACCGATCTCACCACTAGAGGACCAACACAGTGAGCCACCATAGAGATTGACGCACATCCCTCAGTCGCTGCTGCTCTGGACGACGTGGGACTAGCCTCTCGCTTAACACTTCCTCGCAAGGCGGGTCGCTGCTCATTGATCAGAACACCCACGCAATGAGCTACCATCGACGAGCACATCGTCTCCGCGACCGCGATCTCTGAATTTTCGGCGCACGATGTTCCCAGGAGTTCCACAGTCAAGGGTATCCGATTATCGGTCATTTTGAGCTTGGGAGACTGCGAAAATGACGCAGCGACTATGGTGTACACTTTTGTGATCGTACAAGCGCTGATATGAAGGTCCGAGCTCTCGGAGACTTTTAAAGTCTGAATGAGTGAGGGACTCATTTGGCCTTCAGGGTGTGCAGAGCGAGAGAATTCAACAATTACGCAGTGACAGCCTTCACGCTATATTCAGGTGATGAGAACGCTTCATAGTGCGCAGCAGCTAGTGTCCAACTGAGTTTCAAATAACCACGGCTATTGAGACATATCTGACTCGGCTGAGCAAACGAGCTCACATCGAGCCGGCAAAATGAGTCGATGCACGCGGAGGAGAATACCTGCACGCCCCTCAAGACGGGGAAATCTAATTGGTCGAAGTGCGGCGGCTGAATCCCCGGACCGAAATCATCTGAGACTCACTGAGAGACAGCGAACCGCTGGTGTGCCCAATCTGAGAACCCTCGTGTCAACACGCCAAGACCTTTCTAGGGGGCCGGACAGTCGGCCGATGGGCCAGAGTCTAGCCCTCGTTCCTCCGCTCGCTTCTCCATCAAAATTGATGGATTTCTCTCACAGGTATCATCCGTTCCAACGAAAGCTCGATATCTCCTCCGGGGACAACGGGGCTTTTCCGTTCGGAAATCCCCTATCATGCATAGAAATGGAGCTGCATCGGGAAGGCAGCCAGATGTGCTCCGACTGAGTCATCGCTGCTGAGGGAGAGCGTATTCGCGCCCCTCCTGACAACGGCCGCTCATCTTCCACAGAGCGGCACTCGACAATCGAGTCGGATGCATCCTTGACGCCTTTAGCACGATTACTCTCGACTCAGTTTCACTGTGCGAGGATGTTGCAGACAAACATGCCCTCGCGGCCTGTGGCGCCCTGGTTCATGAGACGGAGGATCGCTCGCAAAGTACATTCGTTAGATTATTTCCGTGTGCTATTCAACATTACTCACCGTTTTGACTGTCATGTTCACTGTCTTCACGTTGGGACTGCGCTCTGTGGCGTCTACCTGCGGCTGGAATGAGCGGATGCAAGTGAAATATGGAAAAGCGGCCGCGGGGACGGAAGATTGAGAACTTTCAGTTAACGCGATCCGACGTTTCTCATTCATGAGCGTATCGATCGAATCGAGAATCTACTCACGCTCTTGACCTCGCCTTTCTTCGCATTTTCAGATATGTCGACTTTCTTGGAGTTCCTCCCTCCCATGATGAACAGGAGTTTACTTCGGATACGGCTGACGCACTTTCTCAGGCTCGTACAGGATTTGGCTCCTGAATGAAATCGGTGACTTGAGAATTATGACCGGAGTTCTCGCGACCCTGCTATCCGCCTCTCACGTTTCGCCAAGTGTCGGAAAGAAGTCCAAACATTGCGGGCAAACGCAATAATACACGGAAGTGGACTGCTCCTCGGCTGATCGAATCCTAACCGTGGTCTCGACCATGCTTCGCCAAGCTGACAACTTCGACCTTACCTCGTGAACTTGGATTCGCTTCGCAAAGTATGAGAGAGACTCTGTGGGTGACTACGATTCAAGAATTAACGGAGCGCGGAACGAACGCCCAGAAAGTGATAGTATTTTTAGACGGCAGGATCACAGATAGCGATTAAACTCCACAATCCCGAAGTCAGCTGTGCCCCCAGGACACGCAGGTACCCAGCCTGGATCTAGAAAAGAGAGCGCGCATGGTCGCGCTTCATTCAGCAGGCCTCGGCGGGGAACGATAATATTCACATGTGAACTACATTCAGGCATATTTGAGCATAGAATGCTCTATAGGGGACATCGAATGCCATCCGCGACTTTTTCGAAATGACCTCTCTTCTTAAGGAAAACCGGAGCACCGCATGATTGGAGATGACTGCTCCTCTTCGGTACGGATTGCAACACGAGCGTCCGTGTGGAGTTTCTATCCACAAGCAGACGTCGACTGACCACATGCGCGAAATTACCGAACCTGGATGGGAGTTCCGGACTGCTCATCCGTGGGAGATTATTCCCGTGCCTAGCATCGCTATCGAGCCCGCGGTTGATAGGCGCGCGACTCCACACAACAACTGCCTGATGGAGCTCATTAGCCTGATCGGAGCGGCGAAGGAAACCCCACTGAGTGAGAAGATCAAGAAGTGATCCTGCTAACAAACTTTAGAAGGCATTCCGCCCACTCTACATGTTCCTGGTCTAGGATCGCGTAAGGATATCATAGCGAGTACGGTTCGTGCAGCACCACATCGTACTGCATGTGCCGTGCTGCAGGACGATGCCCAAGGAAGGAATTCTCAGTGGAACACTCCGGGAGCCGATGAGCTGGACGTTGAGAGTTCTTTCGCGTTACTCAGAATGCCTGAACGAACCAAGAGCAATCGCTCCATCGTTCTTAGAATTCTTCTCGAGAGATAGATCCAGGCTCCAGACGTCATCGGAATCCGCTCGAATCTGAGTGAGCTGCCCTTGCGGAGTAGAGTATAACTAGCAGTTCAGCGGAAACAAGCGGATCGATTCATTCAATGGTGAGAAGGGAGCGGTTCTCGGAGTTCCATGATTACGATTGTCCCATCGCTCCATCGAGTCATGGAGCTCTTTTCCCACCAGATCGTGCTTCCCAGGCTCCGTCGAGGGAACTTGTTCCCATGCAAGTTGACCGACAAAAGTCATAATTTCGGGGAAATCAGCTTGCGATAATCCTGCTTCCCACAGTCTATGGAATACTTGTTGTCACGAACAACATGGTTCCCTTGTGAACTCACACGGGCTATCTGGCTCCGGGGAGTTGTTGTCAAGCGGCAGGGGGGGAAGGCGGGCTCCTTGGAAGGGGGGGGAAGATCGTCCTGATAATTGTGAACTGTCATATCGACCCACGTCGTCGGAACTTAGGGACTGTTGAGCATGGAGGCGTGCCGTTATCGACTGCTTTTGATCACTGAGAGACTGGCGATAGATTTCAGCCATGGGGGTACACGCGCTTCCATGGAGCGCTTGTTTCTCGATGTTGTCCACTCGATACCATTCGCAGCTATTTCCGAATCTCACATCTATCCGAGCGCTGACCGGACTCAACCCGGGAACGAGGCGGTTATCAGTTTTCCGTCGCAATGAATTCTCCGGACTCCAGGGTTCCGTAAATTGTTCCATCGAATTCCGATCAATATAGACTAACGATAAGCGGCCTCAAGGCTCAGAGGATAGCTGCCAGATTCAACGGAGCCGACGACGGCACTGATAGGACAATCGTCGACGCTTCAGAGACAGCAGCCGCAGTGCGATGATTCATACAGACAAACACAAATCCGACAAACAGACAGCGGGATGGAACTGCTGGGCAACCCGCCTGTTGAGCTATTTGGACATTTGTCTGACTACCAGGCCATAGCCCAAGTATGAATCACAAGGCTTCTCTTGCGATTATTCGGCGGGTTCTGACGACGGTATCTCGAACCATCGCAGATTTGGGGCAACAGCAGCTCACCGAGGGCCTCACCGCCGTTCGACCAGCAACACTCACTCAGCCCGATTTCGCTTAATGGAGCAGTGTCCTAAAGCGAACGGACCGTTGGAAAAACGTTGTGCACGAAACGGCGAAGTTTCTGAGACCAACGGAAAGCCGGCGCGACGATGACGAAATCCTTCACACAATCCGAAGAGCGCTCCGCGACGAAACTCTGCCTATAGGAGGATACCGAGGTAGAGAGAATTTCTGATAACGCTCGAAAGTCGCGAAAATTGTTGGCGGAAGATCGCCGCCCCATGAGTCGCCTGAACCAGAGCGGAGCTCGGACCACGCATGACGATGAGCTACGGAGTTCCGCGAACGATCACCAGTAGCTTCATTCCCGGATGCGTGAAGTTTTAATAGGGAGGAAATCACTTCTCGATTAGAATCGCCGGCTGAGATCGGGGGCGCGCTGTTCGAGCGAACTAGCGATGGGATGGGCAACGGGAAATCTGTGCGACATCCAAAATCCGCACTAAGTCTGCGTAGATCTCGAGGAAGACGTAAGAGCCAACTCACCTCTTGCTCTCTGCAGTCGTTCACTTGAGTGCTATTGCACGTAAGTCGACAGGGGAACGTGCTGCGGACAGCTAGCTGCGTTGAGGTTTGCTTGTCCACGAAGTATTAGGCGGCTATCGTGCTGGCAGTTGATCTCACTCGCTCCTGCACCACAGACCACGCTTCTTCTCTTGTGGCTCGTCCGCTCGCTCGAGCGCCAGCTAGTTGCCTGCTGGTGTGGCTCACTCACTGAACGACCGGCTGGCTGGCTCGCTCACTCGCTCGCTCCCTCACAGATCTCTCGACTCTTTTGGGCGAAGATAGGAGCGTTGATCCATCGGCTGTGGCTCACGCGGTCATTCGTATGGTGGTCGGTAGACTCGCTCGACGCCTCTCAACTCGTCAGACTTGTTCCTAACTGAGTGAGAACGAATAGTGCGAGAGGAATGGATGGGAAGAAAGGGAGGGGGAATGAGTACAGAACCCTTCGACTGAGTCATGGTCCATCATCGATCGGACGCTGCGAGATCGGACTGTAGGAATTCCACAATTTGATTGCAGCAATGATGATTTTGGAGCTCCGATCCCTGATAACCGTCAGTACTCTGAGAGATAGCTCAAGGCGTCTGGCGTCAGCCGAATGCGCGGTTGCCGAAAACACCGACGCGGGAGAAACTGAGAGCCGGGGCATCATGGGAGTCTGCTACGAAGAAGTACTATTGTTGCCTCAAGGAAATTTCAGGATTCCCGAAGCCGGAAGAGCATTTTACCGTTGGAACAGCTCATCAAGAGAGCCGATGTTCTTCTCTCATTCAATCCTGACTCGTATGAATACGCAGAGCACATCTCTTTCCGACGAGGGAAGAAGGCCAATGAATTCCAAAATGGTAGCCTCCGACGAAGCTAATTTCTTTGAGTCAAGCGTCCAAAACGGACAATGAGCGTCGGGGAAGTCCCAGTCATCGATGACACCTCGAGCCGAGAAAGCAGGCTCGTCATCCGCCCGGGATATCAGCGAACATCACATCGCGCGAGCGCGGAAGAAAGCTTCAAGGTAGATTTTTTGGAGCCGCTGAGCAGTATGTCTCGTCATCGGTAATCTATCGCACCGCGGATGACATGACCCCGCGCTCGGAGCTGACTTTCTCTGGCGGAACAATCGGAAGGAGAATTGCTCTCTTTGTTCCAGAATAGCGAGATGATGATAAATCACCATCCAGACGGTTGATTGCTTCTTCGGAGCTTGTTCGATTCCTCATCGCAATTTCATGGAAGAGGATAATATATTGGACGAGGAGATCCAGCCAAACGAGATCGACCTTTTAGCTATCAAGCTCGAAGTTGATCGCCGAGAATCCTCTCCTTACCGAAGTCTCTCCAGGACCTTTTCTTGGATGTGTTCCACATGGGGTTCCATTGATTTCAATGTGAGCAACTCTGCGCGGTCGGTCAGTGCGTTCCGGTCATGATGAGGCTCCCCGCCACACGCGTATGAGTTAATTCGAAAGCTCGCTCCTATCGCAGCGGCCCCACCGACGTCCAATATTTCGGGAAGGGCATGAGTAACTGCGCTCGAGAGGATCCGTTTGCGTCGACGGAAACACTCTCCCCGCAGCCGAAGCTCTGCGTATGAAATATTCTAGAGGATCGATAGAAGCGATTCCGACTGACACACGGTGGGAAATGAGGGAGAACATTTTCAGGAATAGTGATGATCAGAGCTCCACAAATGAACTTGAACCGAGCAACTGATTTCCTTGGGGTAAGGAAGACGGGGGGAAACCTGGACGCCGGCTTGATCAGTGAAGCAGACTAGAAGATGTCGCAAAGGAGAGAGGGAAACGAATGTTGCATTCCAGTCACGTCAGCCGACTCAGCTCAATAGGGTGGATCCAGGACGTATTTTCCGGGCTGGACCACACAGCCCAAGTTCATCGTCCCGGGGATCACCGATAAGGTATTCCAAGGACGGATTCCGGGAGCAGATTCTCCAGGTGGATCGAGGCGAGCGACCTGCTGCTCCGTTTAGAAATTCCTCGAGCGAACTCTCTGCTTGGCCGGCAGCAGGAATCGATCCCACGCCACTCCCCGCGTGAGCGCCGCCGGCTTCATTCCCCGGAGTGGAAGCGGCTCTTGACAAGGTGACTTTCCCTCCGTGGAGGGCACGTCGACACGAGAAATCACAGACGCGTTGACCACCCACCAGTCAATATGATTGATCTGGGGATTTCCCCCTATAGAATGAAATCGCAATGTCTGACTGTCACCGAACAACTTTTGGTGCTTGACTTCTCCGGAGAGACCCCGAGTGACCCGGCCCCGAAAAGCTGACCACGTTCTGTCTTCAGCGTGGGTGAGTCGGGGCTCCTTAGGCGGCTTCGTTGTGGTCCCCCTACGCGCTCTATTCTGAAGATTGCTGAAAACCAAGGAGCGAACTCAACGAATCATGTAGATCCGAATGACCGGCACGAAGCTATGGACTCATGTTGTTGGTTATGAGCACGTTCCATCCCGAAGTTCCTCGGAGAAGCAAAAACTCAAGACGTCACAGTCTCAGTCCCGAGCATGCTAGAGTACGTAGACAATATGACTAGCTCAGGGGGGTCATGGAGGAAAATTGTTGAGACGGTTGGGGGATATGCCAGAGATGGAGGAGCTGCGGTCTTCTACTATTGTGGTATTGTGGGTCTCCTCCGTATGCCTTTCCGTTCGGGAGCCTCAAGATTGCGCTGTATACTTCGGCTAGGCAGGAGTCGGCGTCCAAAGAAACTCTCCACTTCGTCATCAGCTCGTCCCAAGCTGGTTGGAGCCCGGGATGGTCTCCAATGAATCATTGGTAAGGATCGTGCTCGACGCTTCGAATATTTTTCCGAAGTACGTCCTCAGAGCCTTGAGGCTCTCGTGTACTCTGACCCAGTGGTTCTCAAACTTTTTCTTCTTTTTCTTTTGGGGTTCCGCGCAATCCGCCACGGAACCTCAAGGGTTCCGCGGAACCCAGTTTGAGAAACACTGCTCTGACCAACAATATGGAGTCGTTGATGCGACGTCTGATAACCGGAATCTTCCGTAAGATTGATTGTAGTCGTCTCTGGCTGCTTGAAGGAACTTCCTGAAGGCTGTCTTCTAACGGGCTGCCATCGGTCGCATAACCGGCCTGACCTCGCTCAAGATTTATGCCTGGAGTGCCGTGTTTCATGCTGTTATGCAGACATTGTTCCACCGGGGCCAGCTCGTGCTGTTTTTTGGTGGCAGAACTCATGAGGCGGCAGAGAACAGCCAGAGCTTCTTGACTGCTGAGCCAGAGTTGCTCTCGCTACCAAGCGTGCCGATCCTCAGTGATGGGCGGTCGGCAGCCGCCACTGGTCGCTATCCTTATCACCGCGCGAGAGACGTGTGTCGGGCGAACGACACTTGGCTTCCTGGCCGAGAAGCACGATCGGGCGCGATACCGAATCAGACGAGGACTCTCACGGCTGAGGTAGGGAACGTTGATCTCCTGGGAAATCCTGGGATTTTGTTGCTTCCAAGGCGCTTCATCGTGTCCGCTTATTATGCTTCCGAGCTTGATGCTGGATATCTCCTCGAAATCTAGACGAGGAATTGACGACAAGCTCTGCAGAGGAGATAACCGCAATAAACACGCATTATCATCGATTGCAGCTTGTTATACATGGAGTGTGATTTTTGGTGGAGTGATGGTTACGCTCCGAAGTCCCACGGGAAGTCTCGTCCGTGATCAGCGATCAGCGATTTCTTGAGCCATATCCTTGTAAGGCTATGAAAATGCGCTCCAGTCGTCGCTGAGTAACAATATCAGGGTCGTTTGATATGGCAACGAGTGCGAAGCAGCCTCTTTGCGCGTTGATGCGTCCCTTGAAATTTGGAATTCCTTTTCCTCGCCAGGTGTCACATCCTCGGAGCTACAGCCGCCCCCGCCAGAATCACACGGATAGAGACGCTCCTCGCCGCACCGACGAACCCTTCGCAATAGTTTGCGAGGGGTTGACTGTCCCGACTTCTGCCGAGTTTTCGTTTCGTCTACTCCTCTCGGCCATCAGACCCCTAGCAACGGAGATTGACGGAAAACACGAACACCACTACGTTCCCCGAGGTGAGTATCCCCCGCGAATGTGGCAAACGGAACGAAAGTCATCATTTCACCTGCTTTCCGGTTCGAGGGGGAGATCACTGACGGAAGTACATTGTTGGAGCTCGGCGACACGCGAGAAACAGAGATCCACTGACGGGAGACGGCCACGAAGAGGAGAATGTTGACCCTAAGGAGCGAAGACCGAAAGAGGGGGCCTGGGAAGATTTACGAACTCCGAAACGGATTCTCCTGTAGGGATGCAGGCTAGAAAAGATTCTGCAGAATCATTTCTGCTCCGATGTGAAAGCACGGTTTTATTCCCTTCCTCAGCGAATCTCACATTATTATGAGGATCTCGGTCGATGTTCCCGTCGATTGAAAATAGCGTGACTTGTTGAGATTCCAGCGCACGTCCCTCCGAATGTTCCTCCAGCCGATGCCCTTCCTTCTCGGGCGCCGATCACGACGAATTGCACGAAGTAAAATAACTAGAACTTAGCGCTCAAACCTAACGCTGCGGGAGAAATATTGAAAACATTTTGTCGGAAGAGGAAAGTCTGCCCGACTGTTTTACTCAGTCAAGTTCGGCCATTTCGCTGCTCTCTTCTCATAGACTCAGTTAGCTTTAGACAAGACCAGAACGATTGAAGGCACTTGGTGTACGACGATCTTTAACGAATGATTACTTTTTGCCGCCGCCGTTGGAATTGCTCGAAACTACCCGCGGCGGAGTCGGCAAAGATTGTGCTCGATTACTTCTTCGCACCTTTGCGCTTCTTATTTCCGCCCGTGGTGCACCACTCGGACTGTTTCGGCAGACTGGACGCGAGCCCGACGTTGAACTTGGCGCGTTTCTGAACAAACTGCCTAGCGAACTGTCGAGGTTCTCTCAGGGTTTCTCCGAAGAACTGCGAGACATAGTCTTCGATTTCGGCTTCGGATTCGACATCTTTCAATATCGACACAACCTGTGGAAGATCGAACCTGTTAGACCCGCTATCGTGAGAGGTGAGTGGTATGGCACCAACTATCGTTGTTTTGTCGAGAATCAACGGAGACAGACTCCGACAAGAATTTGAGCGGTTTCAATCAGAGTACTTACTGTGGGCATATCTAGGTATGAATTGAGACCTTTCGTGATCTGAGCGCACCAGTCAATGAGCTGTTGCTCATTGTTCGTCGTTTCGGTCGCCAGGACCGACTTTTCGCCGCCGTTATTATTAATTGTATGGTGGTGGTTATGGTTGCCGGTGGGACTGTTATTGTTGTTGTGGTTGCTCGCAGCTGTGGCGCTAGGGCGAGTGATCGCCACATTTCCCTTCACTACACTTGACATCTTCAACGTCGCTTTCGAGCTCGAGCTTTTGTGTGTGGGAGTGCAGCCGATACCGTTGGCGACTACATCCGCGGCTGACAGCGGCGTATACGATGCGGGAGCTCCTTTCGACTGATGCTTGTTCTGCGTCGCGCTGCTTTTTGAAGCTTGCTGCTCTTTTTGAATCTGATCGAATGATTTTATGGGCGCTATGGCATTTGCCCAGGTCTTGATTCCTGAATAGTATCCATTTTTGAGGGCTTCTTGTTGTCTTTGCTGACGTTCTCGGTCAGCGCGCTCCTCCTCTAGCCGTTGAATTTCTTGAAGACTCAAAGCGGACATATTCTTCTCAGATGTGTTCCCCCACGCGGGAATCGCTGGAGCCGGAGCAGGTATGATGACATCTTGATAAGACGCCATCTTGCTTGCTGCAATTTGCTCACCGCTGTCCCAATCCGCGTCTTCATCTGAAGAGTCCTGCTGGACCAAGTGTTTTTTCTGATCGTCTGCCGGCTCCCTTCTTTCGCGCACTAGTCTGTCATCCTGCTGCTGCTGCTTCTCTCTGCGATCTCGTTTCTTTTTCTTCTCCGCAACTTTCTCGAAGGGAGCTCCTTCGGGAGTCTCCTGATATAGTCCATGGTTGTCCTGATGTTCCAAATCGGAATTCTGTGCTTGCAAGAGCGCTTCGTCCTGTTGTCGTGGATTCCGACTTTGCGCAGGGCCGACATCACCGTCGGCGGAAGGGTTCATCCGCGAAATATCGTAGCTATATTCGAAATCGTTCCATGAGCTCTTGTTCAGAACAACTTGTTCCGGTTCGTCGAGGTGAGCTGGAGCCATCTGGTTACCCTCAGCATTCCGTTCGTTCTTCCGTTGGACCAGCCACGAGTTTGGAAGTTCGTGTTGAGCGATTGCGTGGTGATGTGCGGTGGACGCGCCGAATGCTCGGTCCACGCCCGAATCCGCCGATGGCGGAATCGCTTCAGTCTCTTGTGGATATCCTAGATTTGAACTCGTCGCAGACCTGCTGAACCATGACGACGACGTCGGATCCGTCCGTTGCTCCAACGTGTTCAACGCTGCCGTAGATCTTGCGCGTAGAGGGGGAGCCGCGCTGGTGACGTGTTCTATGAGACGATTTGAGATGACTGCTCTCCGATGATTGCCGCCGGTGCCACTGTCGGCCGTCACATCTGTGGGGAAGGACAATGGGGAACCGTGTCAGAAACGTTTTCAACCCCCGCTGAAATGGGGAAGATGGGGAAGAATCGCGGTTCAGTGCTTTGGATGAGCAAGGTACGAAGCGACTCACGATTGTTAACACTTTGATTGAATTGATCCTCATGGTGCGACCTCCTTATAGGCGTCTCGAGCATGTTTTCTGGCAGACTCGATCCCGACTCCAGTTGTTGAGCTCGACCAAGGGCTGGATTATGCCCGACGCCGATGAGGCTGCTATCGATCCCGTTCTCGTTTGCCATATGTTGACTCCTTCCGTCAAAATCATTCTGGCGCTGCGACAACGCATTGAACTGTGAATTAGCCTCGTCGACGTAGGCGTTCTCAGGGTGGAGAGCCGACGTCAGAGCTCTCATGGGTGACACCGAGGAAACGACCGAGGAGCTCGCTCCCCCAGCCGCGACAAATCCGTTCATAGCTCCGACCGCACAGAGAGAGTTCACGCCGAGCCCCATGGGCACACTGGAGACATTGAACACAGCACTGAAAAGAGAGGAAATCAAATCAAACCCAGGTTAGGGATCGTTTCTCGGTCTTCTACTCTCGCAAATCCACGACGAACCGAGCTTCCTGGCGCAGACGTCAAGGTCGATTCGACCCGGGCGACCGTAATAGCCGAGTTGAGTCAATGTTAAAATGGCTTCTCGAGGAACGGATGCCGCGTCGTGTAATGAATACCATGTGCCGGCGCCCAATACACTCCGTTCATTCCTCGATTCCTCCTCAGAAAGTTTGAACGATCTCTCCGAAGACGGAAGAAAGCCTTGCTCGATCCAATGCGGTCGCTCATGAAGAGAGCCAACACTGGACTGAGCTCCCCTTTCGGAACGCATGGACGACGGATGAGGCGAGCTCCATTGACGAGGAAGTTTGCGATAGCCCCTTGCCGACCCTAGTTTCTCGGGTTTTCCCGAGCGAAATATCGAAACTCGAGACGGAAATCGTCCCTTGTGCACTTGACTGCCTCCTCGAATCTCCCTCGGGAATTATCGGGAACCTTACTTTTGACGAGAAGTAGACACGGTCGGTAGGATCACGTTTGCGATTGGTCCATGCAGATTTGGCATCACGAACGGCAGTCTTCCATTCCAAACTTTCTTCAACGCACCAAGAGGATTAAAAACCGAATCACAAGCTCTACGACATTCGAGGCTGTCATGGAAGTACCCCTGGGTGCTCCACTCAAGCATATCGGTCGATGAAAAAGGGCCCTGTATTATACCCTGAGGATCCTTGTAGTACCAGAGTGGAGCTTCCGCAATATCCTGGAAAAATAAAATCCGTAGTTTCATATTTTCGTTCCCTCATGACACACGCGGAGCCCTCTGAATGCTTGCCTCGCTACTCACCCTGTTCGCGTGGGACCATCGAGCACTCTGCTGCAATGATCCGTCGGACGGGACAGTTGGCGCGGAGTCCTGGTCGGCAGTTGGTGCAGCAACCGTGATCGAGTCTACGCTCACGCTCCCATCACCGAGGATGACAACCTGAGCTCGTTTGCTTTGGTTCGTACATACTCTCGCGTCTTCGGCCAGAGGAACCGTGGGAATCTGGATCACCGCCGGGCCGCCAGGGATGCTCTTGCTCGTAGGAATATCCAACGGCTCTTCTTTCTCTCGGATATTTTGAGGGTGACTCGAATCACGCTCTTTCGCCGATTGGAGTGGAGAACTGCACGATAGTTTATCCATCAGCGTTCTACAGACATTCGATTCAATGCTGGACTCGACAGTCGGCCGCGCAAGGTGAGCCTCGCCGTCTGCAGAGGCAACCGGACGTTGCGGAAACGAATTCCCTGTCGAAGAGTTCGCCGAGGCGTTTTCGGTCGTCCTACCGCGACTTTCCAGCGACAAAAAACCCCCCTTCTCGTCGAATGAGCCGACATTGTCGTTGTCGTCAGACACTTTCTCGTCGGCCCACTCCGGTACCTGAAACGATGAGGATGGATCATGTAGCTCGGAAAACAACTCATGAGGCGAACATTCGGGGGATGGAGGGCACTCGAGATAGGATATTGTCCACAATACTACTCTTCCGTCGAAGAAGAGATCACCTTTTCATCTTCGTTCAGGGAATTTTTCCTCCAATAATTGAATTGACTCGGATTCGACGTCGGCATTTGGGTGGTCGACGATATCGGTTTTTCCGGTGAGCGCCAATTCCTTGTCTGTTGAAGATGACCCCCAACGCTTCGAGCGGCCGCCCAAGGTGCCGGAGTTATTCCTCTCCCCCGGCCTCTTGAGGAGGCCACCCTCTGGAAAGCCCACAAGCGTTGCTCCTCGTCGGTCATAGGAATGAGTGACCGCGGTGTTTGACTCTGTTCGATGTAGACTCCGTCGCAGAAGACGAATCCCGGCGTCGATAATGGTGGGACAGTATCTCCATACAGCGTTTGTTCATAAATAGCGATCAGTTCTTCTTTGCCGTACCTGCAAGAAGGATCCCTCTCATATTGGTCTGTGTTCGTCCTCAGAAGGGGGCGGGGGGAGGGGAATACAGGGTACACAGTGAATTATTTCACGATGGAACGAAATCCCCCGTTCGGGAAGCCTCGGACAGTCTTGGTTCCGGCATTCATGAGATGATTAACTGCCCCGCACGAATTCGCGATTCCATAGCCGAAGCGCACAACAGTACCTTCATTCACTCAGCAGGCTCCCTGTACTTCCCGAAATTATATTCAGGCAAAACTCCCAGGTGAGAAAAGGGTGACGATTATGCTATGCGAGGAGGACTTCTCTCCAGCCATGAGTCCAGCTCTCTCAACGCATTGTGCAGGATGCCCGACCGGGACAAAATATTCGCTCGTATCCGCCACATGCTATAGGAGAGTTCTGAGGATCTCCATCGTCCTGAGCAGCGGGTCTGCCACCGGACTCGGGGCTTCGATCATGGAGTATTATTTGCTCTCCTCGAGAGCGTGCCACAAGCAGCTAGGCTCCACACGAAGATCAACATGTGGGAATACCGTCTCTTCAGCTGATGGCCGCACACGAGCGAGTCGAGATTACTTCGGGTCCGCGACTGATGTGAGTGAGAGCGAATCGACCCGACGAGACGCCTCTTCGCAGAAGATGGAGCTTTGACTGCTCGGCTAATCGCTCAAGTGAATCAAATCATCGAGTCCTAAGTCATTTCAATCGAGCGGATGTTCACATAGGTGCTCTCGAGAAGCCTACCTGTGCTTTGCCAGCGGATACTTCCGAGGTGGTGTTGCTTGCGAAGCTTGCGCTTGAGGAGCTTGACCCGCGGACGAATCACTCAGTACTCGAATCCATTCGGGTCCGAACTTGAGAGAGCAAGTGGAATCTGCTGCCATATTGGTCAAAATCTCACTGCTTGTGATACTGTTACTGCTCTTACAGGAGGAGGGAAGGCCACTCAAACTCGATTTCTGTGACTAAGTAAGCGAAGTATGCTCGAAGTGATCGATTAGTGAATTGATCTCGGTGATGACAGCGCTAGGGAGACCGGGCTCCGTTGGATTACGATTGTGGTCAGAGAAAGGGTTCGACTCCAAATTCAGAGCAAGCACGACACGACGACCGACTGAGGGACTGAGCGCTCAGCACACGACGCATGCACAAAACAACTCTAGCCAACTAGCGGACGACACACACCACACACACGCACAGCTTTGCCTTCGGTTCCTTCTCGTCACATCGCTGCGGCGGTGTTGTGGTACTGTTTACCCAGGAGCTTTTTTTCGTTCTCGCTCTTTCCCTGACCAACTTAGCGGCGGGACCAGCCACGGAAGCGAGATGACATCATTCTAACCATTGACTTTTCCGGAACTGACGGACTTACAATTACAATTAGTAGCCACCCGATCCGAGAGCTGGGGCAAGTACCGTGACTTCTTCGACGGCTGTCGAGCCTCAAGGCGCGCGATTCAATGAGCGAGTGAACCGGTGCGTACCGGTGGGAATCCTCGACCGGTTTCTTTCCGTGAATCGGACCAAGAGGGAACGGTCCCTTGTTATTCTTACTGCTCGTCGCGATGGGGGACTTCAAATGAGCTCTCCCTCTATCGGACGCTCGATTCCGTGGAGATCCGCGAGAGCTCGGAGTGGACGGGGCTGGCTGGGAATGTCTGAAGTCCAAATAATCCTCACGGAACATGACCTTAGACATGGCCGAAATTCGGAGACGTTGCTAAGGTGATACGAGAGTCGGCGACGAAGCCGATGGATGATAATGAATCATCATGAATCGTGAATCGTGAATCATGTCTCATGGCTCTTGTCACCTGACAGGCTACGATCACATAGACGGTACGGTACGATCAACTTCGCCGGTTCTTCTTTTGTCCCCTTTATTGCGTCCCGATGCGATCTCAATCGAGGCGTAAAAATCAGCAGAGAATACTGTCTCGCCAGTGATCAACCCGAACGATAAGGAAGCGTCCTCCGAGGACGCGATGAGAACTGGAACTTTCTGAGAAAGCAGCGCCAAGCAAGCCGGAAGTAAACGAGAATCGCGTTTTCGGCTCCCAGAGGAAGAATTACGGCTACCCTCGTGCAGACAAATGACAAGTCAGATTCGAGGCTTCTGACAAGTAGAATTCCCTCTAAAAAAATTGAGCGAGGTCTGTCATAGATCATGGATCATGGGACAGGATGGCTGCGCGGGTAGATGTAATCTCCAACTCCCCGAACAACCCGCCAAATTCTCGAACACGTCGACTCCTGGGACTATATTTTATAATCAATGATGCGGATGATTTCAGCAGCATTGATGAGCTATTGGAGATTTTTCTTCATTTACCCCCGGCTTCATTTACTTCATTTACTCGGTCCATAGCCGGTAGCACGCGAGGTCCGGTACTTGGTCAATGGAATTTCTCGGCTTCCGCTTGAATAGCTCAGAAACCAAGAAGGCTCTCCCGAGACCCTCGCGAGTCGTCAGATATATGCCCGCCGCGACGGTTATACTTCATTAGGGCCTCACGCAGCTTGGCATTGGAGGGCGTCCTCTGCAAGATCGGCGACCGACCCTGCGAACTTCTCCTCGCATTGAGGGCAAGGAAAGCCAATTTTGAAACCGTCATTTCACCTCGGATGTCACCGTTCAGAACTTGGGCTGAGTAAGGTCTTGGAGTCTTGGTCAGGATTACCTGAATACTGGGAGCTACCTCAAGCTACAAGTGTCTAGGACCCCTCAAGGGAAAACTCTCCGCGCCGAGGCAGCTTCTTCTGATGGGCTCCATTTCGAATCTGATTCTTCTCGAGTCACTACCGTCTTTCCTCGAATATGAGGCCTTCCTAGAAGATTGACCTTGCCCAGATATCTGAATTCGGCATCAGAGTAAGCCTTCCCCGAAAATAAGCCCTCGAAGTGAACGAATACGAAGATATTTCACTCCGCCGACCGAAAAATTTTCGACGAAATCCTCAATAATCGCGACGTCTGTGATCAATTCTTCGACGGGTCAAATACCAGGGCACTGTGTTCATACCGCCCCATGATCAATTCGTCGGCAATTTCTTATCCGGCGATGCTTGGAGTCCAATGACCCGCGGCCGTCTGAGTTTCTCCTGAGTGAGGCGTGAGTTTCTCCGTTCCTCTCAATGCGGTGACAGCATTCACGTATGTCATAGCTGGAACGGCAGTTCCTTTGCATTGAACTCGGCAAATCTCGAATCTTTTGAGGGTCCATAAGCACTGTGCACGAAAGCGTTTTCGGAGTTCTTCTGCTTTCCTTCCAAGTAACTCTCATCGAATAGCCGGTACTCCGCGTTCCCGCATATATACCTTGGTATTTGTACTTGTCTGATGTCTCTTGTTGCTCGTATGAGGTGTCCGTGAGAACCAGATAGTCTGCCTGTGATAGTCCTGGTATTTTGAATGTTTCCCCTAAACTTCCTGGGGTGGCTGCTCCGGATCCAGTCATCGACCATAGAAGTCGGGTCTCTATTTCTGCTATGTATAGAGAGCACGGCACCGGTGATACGGAACAACCCGATGTTCGTAGGGAGATCATCCGACGAGAATCCAAGGAACTTCATTACTATTCTGTTACCGGAGTACAAAGATCTCAAGAGATCAACCCGATTGGGATTCATGCTTACATCCAGTGATTCGTTCGCGCAGCTTCTCTGGATATATTCCGTCGTACGCTGTCGTAAATCGAGGACCGTGCAAATCAGTGCCTGAGAGAGCATCCGTGGAATCTCTATGGTCGACGATAGTATCGGACGATTACCGTCTCCCCGCCTGCCCGGTTTGAACGCTTTTGGCATTTCGCCGTTGATTCCTCCTCCTCCTCAATCCTTTCGTCCGATCCGAGCTGCCAAGATTTTTTCATGAACACTCTGTACAGAACCGATAGTATGGTGGTCGGTCTATATTTTGTAGGGTTCCCGGTCTCCTCCGTTCGAATGTGGTAAGGATGTTCACGAATCGACGGTCGTACTGCAGTCTACCAGTCTTCTCCTCGTTTTCCTCTCGCTCATCGACTTTGGGGTCTCGTCTCTCGGTCGAGCCAATGATCCGCGCACCTTACCTGCAGCGAGATTCGGATTCAGCATCATCAGATACAATTTCCTCATGCCACTTTCGAACAGAGTTCGGTATCCCCCAATCTTCAAACCTGGGAGTGGGCCAACACAAGACGTCACTGTGAGATCCTCCGACGATGACATCCTCCAGAACTTGCGCATCTCCAAGGCTTCGTCCGGCTCCAGTCAAAAGAAGGAGCTCGTCGGCAGCAATTCATTCACGGGCTTGCACAAGACAAGATCCTCGAGGCCCGAGACCCTCCGCATTGCGCTGTTAAAGACGTAGCGATTTACATAGAGTCCAGGCGCGTCCGCAGAAGGGGGGGGGGCGAGGGAGCTATGGCCCCCTCTCAGATTGAGAGCTTGTAATACTAAAATATTGGAGCGGGTCGCCATGTTGGAAATCAGCCCCATGCGGGGACCCGATATAGCCCCCCAAGAAGAATTCTGTGGACGCCACTGATGGAGTCCCCTTCAGCTGACCCCCTGAGCTTTCTCCGCCGAATTGCAGGTGATTCGAGCAGAACACTTGGCCGAGTCCCGCTTCGGGATCAATCAGAAGTGATCCTCGAGTGATTTCATTCTAGGGCTCTGTGAGCTGAGGATAGAATCCGAGAATTCTCGGGTTTCGCATCGTGACGCATAATCCCTCTATGATAAAACGAGTGTTTCGAACTCAAGTTCTAGGTTGTGCATCCTATTCCGATAATTTTCGGATTTATCATCTCGATCCTCAGACTATTCTCTCCGATTCCAGAGTACTCGGAGTTCAACAAATCAATTGAACTCTTCCACAGGGACCTGGTGTAATATCTGCTCACCTACAGACATAGGTAGAAGAATTCCTAGTCTCTCTTGGCGTCGAGGAATCCCTGAAACGGAAAGAAACCGGTGTGATCCAGCGAGATCACAGTACGCGAGATAGCGGGATCAAAATTAGATGAAGGGACAGCCTGGGAGAACTCGAAGCCTGAGAAAACTCAATTCATCCCCAGGAGTGCTCCTCCTCATATGGTCCCCTCAAAAACGATGTGACCTCGGGTCGTACCCCCGCTCGCGAGTGAGCGCCGTGAGCGACGTGACCCCCTCAAAAAGGGTATTAACACACGCCCAACTTCCCTCACTTGGCAGACTTTTCGTGGAAATGTCTGTGATCATTGCGCCAGCTACCTGCGCCAGGTATGTGCTTGATCCTTCCGCGGCAAGCTCTCGCATGAAGTGGTGGCGATGATCGATAGGCTTCGTTCGCTTGTGTTGGACTCCATCATGGCTCAACAGCCTGGTTCCTTGATTATCGCACCAGAGTGTCCTTGATCGCGCGATGTCCACGGTGGGCAGTTTCGTGGAATTCAAAAACCATTCGATTCCCCGACAAGCTGCATAGCATGCCGCCTCCGTCAATGGAAGCGCTGCTATGACTTGTGTCCTGCCTGACAAGTAAATGCACACTACCGAGAGTAAGAACGCTTACCTCGTCGTCGACTTTCGAAAATCGTGGAAGTCACCCCAGTTCGCATCAGAGAGAGCTTATCCACTTTCTTCACTCCCGTCAAACTTCAACCGTAGGCCCAAGGTGCCCTCCGAATGCCTCAGGGTCCTCTTTACCAGCGTCCGATGCCTTTTCGAGGGGTCTGAGAAGAATTGACTCGCCATACTAAAAGCACCGCCCGAACCCGCTGAAATTTTAAGCACGGATCATCGACATCATGTCCTTCGCTCTCCCGACCGTCCATCGACAGATTCCGTTTCCATGTGATTTTACCCAGCGTGCCTTCCTCTACACACTTCGCAGACACGCGTTCAATTGAACGCTCTGGTCAGCTCGCGTACAAGCCTACAAAAAACGCAGCACAATGCGCTGAAGCGTACTGGCCGAATTTCAAGTTTCGCGATAAGTGACGCAGGCGGTGGTGGTCGTGGTGAGTGTGTGGTGGTGAGGAGTAGTATTCCGAATGGGAACAACATAAACACGTCCACCAGCAGCCGACAGACAGGCCGCGAGCCAGGAAGCAGCTCGAACCGTGACGACGATCGTGGGGGACGGCGTAGTGTTACGTCCTTGGTGTTCTTGACCACACTCGATCGTCAGTGACCTGAGAAACAATTTGTGTATTCGTCTGTGTCGATCGCAAAGTAAGTTGTCCGCTGGTGTCTCATGCCTCCCGGTCATGTTCTGAGTATCGCCACCGAGAGGAACCGAATGGACCGGTTTCACGGAGACTGAGGCTCCCTCAAGAAATTTACGAATATAGCGACTGTGTATGCATATCTCGGCGCTATACCTCCCGGTGCACGGGCCATCCATCTTCGCGCGGAGCGAAACGTCCGAGTCGGTGCCACTCATTTGTCGAGCATTCTATATCGCAGCTGGCTCTGGGGCGACCATTCTAAATCATTGAATTGCCGCTTCACTGGCAGACTAGCTGCAAGGGATTTGCCAAAAAGTATCCTCAGTCTCTTCGGAGACTCGTGGCTGGAGGGTCTCGAGCACACGGATGCCAACTTCAGGGCAAGCGTTTCGTGAAGTTCCAAGGCAGCCGAGTCGTCAAATTATCTTCGATCGACCGAGACACATTCTTGTTTAGAATGACCTCCACGGACTGGAAATAAGCTCTGCAATCTCTTGCTTCATTGAGAGTCTCCACGGGAACCTTCGGAGATGCACCTGAGTGGATCCACGTTGCGTGGGTACTCCTTCGCCTCTCGATGTGAAGAGTCCAATCGCGTCCATATCGCTTTTCTCCTCCGCTGGGAAAACTTGGACGGAGCGATGAAAGCGGGTCGATTGACGGGCTGGGATGATTCCCCTGTCATATTGATCGGAAACTAGCCCTCTATGATTGAAATTCCCGATTGCAAAATTCAATCAATCGAGGCAATGATCAAGACGCCGTGGCGGCCGATTTCCTCGATATATAAATGTATATACATATATTCCATGTAGGTGTGTCCGGAACATCTGGAAGTCTCTTGAAACAATCTAGCTTTCGGAAAGGAAACGCCGTAGAACTCGACCGCAGACGTTGGTTACTGTTTTCGTTACGGTCGCTCACGTTCCATTTGACCCCGCCGTCGCTGCATAGGCGAGAATGACTCTCGGATCTAGGTCTCCCCGTCGGGCCTCAGTCAGGTGTTTCCGACGCATCCGTGCGCACCACCTGGGCCAGATATCGATTCTGGAAAAATTTACGTATCGTCAGAAACACATTAGAATGGGCGTTTGGAGATCGCCACCTTGACAGCCGTCATGGAGATGATTCCTAGCATATTCTGTATTCCATCTGCCGCCATCGTCTCACAACGAGTTACATGAGACTAGCGATTTCGCCGGAAAAATGGCTGATCGAACTCCCTTCCCAAATCCCCAGGGGAGAATCATTCTGCAAAGCAAGGAGAACTCCTAGAGCAGTGAGATGGCTTCGCTCATCGCCAATGCATTTCAACATCCCATGGTAAGAAAGCTTCTGGCCTATCGGAAGGGCGACGCTGATGATCGTTGGGGAGAGAAGGCCGTGAAGTCTCTCGTGAAGAAGCTCAACAAACAGGGAGCTCTGGAGGAATTGGAACAAGCTGTCGCCAAGCAGGATCCCAACTCCCGATGCATAACGATTCCCAGGTGAGTACATAATTTCTTTGTGGAGCATCACGTGAATTCTGCATTTAGCATATTCTAGAGATGCCAACGTCTTCGGCTCACTCAGAGTACGCTCGACACAAGCGGGATCCGGGGATATGGGGTAGACACGGAGATCGCCGCTTCCGTGGCCAAATATAGAAAGCTCCGCGACAGTCGCTATTTTTCTCCCTGTGGATCCAGCGATAATTTGCCCCGCTCTAGTTTTGCGTCTGTACCAAACCACACTATGGTGCTCCATCGCCGAATTTTCTCGCGACCATTGCGCGAATGGAAACCGTGCTGACTACCTGCTGAGCGAGTTTTCACCGCTTGATTCCGGCGAATATTCGATCTGTTCCCTCCTCCTTTTCCGAGCAGTCGAGAGTGAGGGATGCCCTCGCCTCTCTCCCGCCGCTGATGAGGGACAATCTAGCGAGAGATTCGTTCTGGATCATATTCTAGCCCCGATGTTTGAGACTCCCTGCTTTGAACAACTAATAGATCTCATGCAATGGGAAAACTGTGCGAGCAGCTTGGACTCGTCGTGTTTTGGAGGCAACCGTTTTGAGCGGTCTTCGCGACAACGCTTCTGCGAGTAACGACGTGAGTGTCGGCATTCATGACGACCGCTTCCGCGCAACCTCTACATCGGGAGTCTTATGCAGCATGGCGATTCCTCTTTAAGACGATCACTTACCTTGAACAGCTCCGACGAGCGTCTCGGAAGCTCCGAATCAGCGAGGATTCCGAAGCGAACTCTAGCCGATAAGCTTTAGATTTCACTGCGAACTGCTTCACCGCTAACCGATAATGTTTGTCGAGCAGATCCTTAGACGGCCGGCTGCAAGTGTCACATCGGAAAGGACTACCACACGTTATCTACTGTAGACTGTGGAGGTGGCCGGACCTGCAATCACAACACGAGCTTCGCGCGACGCCCCAGTGCCAGCATTCATTCCACGCCAAGAAGGATGAAGTCTGCGTCAATCCGTGGCATTACGATAGAATAGAAACGCCACAGCTGCCGCCCATATTGGTGCCGAGGTATACGGGTAAGCGCTGCGGAAATTTCGAATTCTGTGTCTACTCGTTGTCCTCAGCGCTCGTTTCCGATTGCCATTCTTACCGTACTCTCTCAGGTGATCTCCCAGAAGACTTCGAGCTGCCCGACTTCGATAGTTCTATTCCGGAGAACGCAAATCTGCCACCCGATACTCCGCCTCCTGGATACATGAGCGAGGTTCGTCAGGGATATAGAAAACGAGCTTCTGACCGGCACTGATTCCCTACCTTACCGTAGAGACCGTAGAGAGGGGGCCGGACGTCTAGGCATTGTGGAATAAGAGTTTGCGACGTCAAACTCTCTGAGGGGCACCGATGCACTTGGCTTCCGAATATCACATCAAACGTTTCAAAATACAGGAATCGGATTTGTTGTCATCGCCCGGGTCCCAAGCACCATCGTCACCACCGGCCACGCCGGGCTTCGCGAGTCCGCTTTCGACCCAAAATTCTTTACAAAACAACAACTTGCATTCGCCGGCAAATCACCTCAGCGGATTGGACACCATGGACACGGTGAGAATGATTGGCGGAGTGGTAATGATGAGGATTGAGGGCGCCATAATGTGCTCATTGATTTCGATCACTGGCCCACCTCGAACAACATCGAGCAGAATCGTTCCTACATACGATGGACTGTTGGAAGTTTTGATCTAAGCTCAATTTCGTTCTCCAGGAGAATCCTCAAATCGCTACTCCTTCACCACCTCCGGCTGGAATGAATAACCTGTCACAGGATTTGCAACCCGTCACTTACTCGGAACCGCAGTTCTGGTGCTCGATTTCTTACTATGAGCTGAATAGCCGCGTCGGGGAAACCTTCCACGCGTCTCAACCTTCGTTGACAGTCGACGGATTCACCGATCCCTCGAGCTGCGAACGGTTCTGTCTTGGGCTGCTTTCGAACGTGAATAGAAATCCCATTGTCGAGCAGACTCGGAAACACATCGGTCGGGGAGTTCGACTGTACTATATTGGAGGAGAAGTGTTCGCTGAATGCCTGTCAGACAGTTCGATATTCGTGCAGAGTCCCAATTGTAATCAGCGCTACGGTTGGCACCCTGCAACCGTCTGTAAAATACCCCCCGGCTGCAACTTGAAGATCTTCAACAATCACGAATTCGCCAACCTGCTGACGCAAAGTGTCTCTCAGGGTTTCGAAGCTGTCTACCAATTGACAAGAATGTGTACCATCAGAATGTCGTTCGTCAAAGGCTGGGGAGCTGAGTATCGGTGAGTAACTTTTGGGTCGACTTGAGTTTTTTGCGGATTGAGGAGCTTCCCGTTCGTGGATCTTCGCAGAGATCGGCACTTGGTTCATCGATCGCACGTCAAAAGCATTGCGCTTTGGAATCACTGTGAGACACCCTTGCATACTTTGCAGGCGACAAACTGTAACGTCAACTCCCTGTTGGATCGAGCTACATTTGAACGGACCCTTGCAATGGCTCGATAGGGTGCTGACCCAGATGGGATCACCCCGCATGCCCTGTTCATCGATGTCATAGTTCATAAGTATCTCCGCGGCCGCTCATTTTTTTCTCCTTTGGAATGCCGCTCTGTCCCTTCGGGATGTTCCCTATTCAGCTCCTCCCCAAAACTCACGCTTCCTATCACGCGAATCGAAGAGACGTTCACGATAGGAGGCAGCTTTCTGATCGAAACGCATAGTTTATATTATGGATTCTTGGGCTCCTTCGTTAGTTGATGGACTCTTGTCATTATCCAATAATGAATACTGGAATTCATGGACGCGTTGATGAGTATTCGTCCGATCACCGAGACACCTTCCTGACGGAACAAAAATGACGAGAATAGCCCTGAACGTTGTAGCTTTTTCACAGATTCAGATTATGGGCTCTGAGGACTCTGCCCAAGCGACCGTATCTGTGTTCGAATTCAGTTTGACGGAGGCAGAGCAGCTAGCCTGTTACAGGCGCAGTTTGATCTCCGACCGTGTAGCTACGTTAGGTATCCTTCTTACTTTAAGATGGCATTTTCGGGAGCTTAATTGCAGAAAAGGGCCGCAATGGCTCTGTTTACGTTACGCGGTACGGCGTCTATCCGTCTGCGCAGTGTGACATCCTCGACTCATTGATCGAGTCTCACTCTCCACTGACGAAAAATATATGTACAGCTGAGTTGGTGTAGAAATCAATGGTATTGCAATTCTGAACTTATCGACGGGACAGCCTTTGCCAGCCGCACAACGGGAGAAGTAGCTGACCGAAAATGGGGCGTCAAAGACCGGTGCGCTGGAGGGATCAAGGCACATCTCGCGCATTATTTTTCACTCTGAAGTCGCACCCTTAGCTCCAAACGGAAACTCATCTCATAACTACCAGAATGTACTAGACGCGAAGCTCCATCATGGATGCGGGGATGTTCGGAATTGGGACGCACAGAGATCCGAAACCTGCGTAATTCGTGATAGCCGGAGCCAGCGTAAGTTTGTCCAGAAAGGAGCTCTCGCAGTCGGGTGGACTGATAGATTGTCAGAGGCAGCGACGAAGAAGCAAATCTATACTACCCATTCAATTGTCTCACCACGAATCTTCACATGCTACGAAGTATGTCGACTGTCCGAAAGCGCTGGGAGAATTGACGAATCTGTCGAGCGATGAGCGTGTCTAGCTCCGCGCGCAGATCGAAGATTTCGCTTCCTCTAGCGCCACCGAGAGAGGCGGCGATCCTCGGTAGATACGCTAGGAGTGGGAGATTTCATGAGGCAAGACCCACTGGTTCACTCGGGCTTCTGTCATCCGCTCATGGGACCAAACTCCAAGGCCCGGCAAGATCATTGGGTACTTGCACGAAGCTCCCACGGGGATTGAGAATTAATTCCGGAGGCATCAGGTCCCGGCTGCACCGCAGGCAACGTCAAGTCTGGCTCGCCTCTGTGAGAGGGGTTGTGTCTGTTGGTGTTCACCTCACATCGCATGAGCCGAGGATCATCCTGAGGTCGCCATGCACTCATCGAAGTTCGTCCTGGCGGAGTGACAGATTCCAAAAGGTAGCCGACCAGCGGCGGAACCACGAGAACTTCGCCCTTCGAAGAAATCGAAAATCGCGCCCCCTCGGAGGGCCTTCCTCTTTTTCCTACAGGTCTTGTCTTTTTCCGGAAAATATCGACCGAATCTGCGCTCCCTTTTTCCCCTCGGACTTGCCTTTTTCTCGGGGTCGCTTCCCCCTGGATGCGCCTCGGCAGACATCTGGCAATGAGAGATAGATCTGACGCGAGAAAGCCGATCCTATAAATCTGTTGTGCTCCCGTTTCCTGAGCGTAGACTAGTAAGCTCTGATCTTTCCCCTCGCGGCCAGCCGGGTGCGCAGACTCCCGACGTGTCGAGACTCATGCCGGAAGCCTTCAGTGGGTCTCGACGCTGTTCACTCTCATTAGTTGAGTTGCATCTCTGGAATCTCGACGCTGTTCACTCTCATCAGCTGAGTTGCATCTCTGGAGTTATCTCTGGAATGGAGTCTTCTTCCATGGCTATTTCACTAGAAAGAAACCCCTCCCCGGAGAACCTTCAAAGCATTGACTGTGCCAAAACAATCATGATATTGTCAGCTGCCACTCGTTGAAACCTCTTTGAACTTACTTCAATCATTACATCCGTTTCCACCTGTTCTCGTGTTTTCGTCCACGCTCAACAACGACAGGGGCCACCAACGGGGGTCCCGCGTTTCCAGCATGCTGATGTATGTTTAGAAGGCGTTCCCCTCTCGGAAGAGCGTCAGATCGGTTCCCGATGCCCCTCTAGAAGCATCGGTTCCGCGAGAGTTTCCTGTCTCTCTACCTACACAGTCTGTTTGCCCAATCCCTCGGTTCTGTCCGGTTCCCCCCGGTCTCGAGACGCCGCTGGGTGGTCGTTCCCAGGTAGGAGTCCGGCAAAGAGGGTGTCAAGTGTCAAGCGAATTCGGTGATTCGTCCTCCACTCAGTTTTTTTATTCGAACGCCCGAAGTTCATCATTATTCGACGAGGATTGCTATGGGCAAGGGCCCTTGGAACAACAAGTGCGTGTACGAGTATCCGCATGCCCCCCCGATCGCATAATTGCTATCTCATCTCTTGACCGAGGAGACAGGTTATCACGTGCGGAATCCGTTCGAGAATTAATGGTGCGGTGAATTCCCTCGGAAATCCCTCCAGATCGAAGTTCTGCGGCCACATACCAGCACCCCAGCGAGGCGAAACAGAACATTTGGTATCAATGATCAAGGGTTTCAACGTCAGATTTAATAAGAGATCAGCTGAGCCGCTCTGCAATCGAGGCACTGGGAACCTGCTTATAATTCGAAGTCCGAAAGATGTCCGGGGGCTGTCACCGCATGAAGCTCTGCTGGATCAGCACGACCCCGTGGCGTATCATCGCACGATGTGCCCAGAACAGAATCGGCCCAGAATCGGAATACATTCTAACATTAGCGAGTTTCGGAAAAAAGCGTCTGAGTGAGCTGCCTCATCCCAAACATGCTTGATGAGGTGAATGAGTTAGGCGGGTAGAGAATACGCGAATCTAAGCTCCTGATTCCCATTGGAACCCTGCACTCTCTCTCATTCCGTGATCAGCTCAATTGACTCCTTCGACATATCACACATCCGTCACCATCGGCTTTCCATCATACAGGCACTCTGCCGCTTCGGCGGTCGAGAACGAATTCTGGCTGCGTTCACATGCCCTTCTGCGTCACTGTCATCATCCCTCCATGCTCCTCTTCCGCCCGCGGAGCCTAACTTCGTCAAGTTTCTTCAATAAGGCCGACCTCGATTTCTTCCCCACAGAGTGTAGGTAACCCTCGATAGCATGAGGGTACCTGAAATGCAGTTCAATGAAATAGGATTGCCGCTGATTTCGGACCGGCATGGGCTGGGAGCAGCAGTGAGTTCTTACGTCCCGAATGAATTCGCGGAATCCAACTTTGTGGCTCGAATCTAATTCCGGATATAAGCATCTTCGCGCTAACCTGAGGTTCAGATTGGGATGAGTGCTCCCGAAGGCTCTTTCTAGAACATAGAGATCTACAGCCTTCTCTTCGACTTTGTCTGAGCTTGAACTGAGCCCAAAGTCGAGGAGGAATATTTTTCCATCGCTGAATATCATGTTTGAAGTGGTCAGGTCGCCATGAATTATATTGATTCCGTGCAATTTAGCGATACCTTGTCCAACCTGGGAGGTGGGCTCATTTAAACTCGAGATTCTAATGATCAGAGGGCACAACTCTGGTGAACTTCCGATGCTGCCGGAAACCCTCACCTGGTACAGGATGTTATCGATTTTTGACAAATCGCCCTGGTCCTCGGCTTCTTTAAGCAGTCGTTTCACGGTGAGCCCCTCGATTTTCGCGGTAATCAAGCGCCGATTAAAAAGGTCGGCTTCGTAGATCGCAGGCACCGGTATTCCGGCCATTTGGCAGCGCGATAGACTGCGCGCCTCATTCTTCATCCGTTCCTGATGACCGCACAGAATACTGTTAGTATTAGTCGTCATCAATGATCAGGAGCTCCGTATCCGTCATGGGCTTCTCATGACTCTATGGACTACCTTCGTGAGATGATCGTCGAGTTGTCGGATTCGGTAGTTCTTCCTGAATCTTTCCTTGAAAACCGCCTTCCGTCCGCAAAAAGTACCCTCAAAAACCCGCGCTTCGGCGCCTTGCATCAGCAAAGATTTCCGTTCGGTCAGCCACTCTGAGTTTCGCAGAGAGAAGATGGAGAGCGTCAATGTTTGTTTTCCCCGATTCCATACCGTCACCCTTAATGCCGAATGCCGATAATAATCGCTTCTCTCAAGGCTCTCTTGAACCTGATCGATCGGTGGTAAGACGGCGCCAGCCTACGATCTGAATTCAGGCCACTCTCACCGGTTCGCTCTCTGGAGGTCTTCATCATCGATGTTACTTAGAGAAGCAGCGAGCTCAACTGACTGCGCCCAGATGCCCGGGCGTGTGTTCTCTGTGTCTCCGCCGGCGCCGCGGCCAGCCTTGTTGTTGTTTGGGCGAGATTTGGCGGTGGCGCGCGCGTACCAGCATCGCGGATTCCGGACCTGAATCCTGCGCCGCGATTCGCGCCATTGATATAGGAGAATACAGCTAGATATCGAGCTGTCATTGCCTAACCGGCTACAGAATCGCCATCATCTCCCCTATCGCCGCAGAAGTTTTTTCCGGGGTCTTCAGGATGAGTGTACTCGACGACGACGACATCGGAAGAGTCTGTCTGCGATGAGGGCTGTTGTTGTTACGGCGCCGCCTGTTTTTTGGCGCAAACATCCCGGATCCCGGCAAGGATCTGTCGAGTGCTGAATGGGATAATCGCACTCCGACGCTGCAATCTCGGCGAGGAATACCCTTCCCGGCGAGAGTTGGCTCGAATGTACTCAGATCTGCTCAGTTCAATGTGAGAGGAACCAGTCGGTAGATCCGTACTTCCCCCTGGAGAGACGGCGCGCAAAGGTGCATCGGAATCGTGAGCTCCTCAAAATGGTCTTCTGCGTCAGGCGTAGGTGCTACGACCACATCAATCCGGGAAATTATGCTTCTGAGTGATGGTAGGTGGTTTGGACCCATCTTTCCAGCTCACCGCGAGATCCCAACAGGCGGGAATGAGAGCGGAATATATTTGATTTGGTCTCCCCTCAAATGTGTTCCGAGTGTTTTCACCTCTGAGCAATCATATCTCTGACTTCTTCTTGTCCATGGGTAGGATTGTGTCAACACCCCGCCGACAACCAAGCGGAAACATCGTAGCAGGTGCCGTGAGTAAACCCAGAGTCGTCGGACCTCTGTCTCAACCTAAGCAATAATCACTATGATTTAGCATCGTGAGATTCGCGATGTTCAGTGATCGGGTATACCACAGAGAACTGCGTTTCAGTTGGCGGCAGCGGAGGATCAGAAAACAGCTGCGGTACCCCTCTGAGCGCACGTCTCGATGCTTCTCGGAACTCTGCTGTCAGTAGCGGTTCCGGAGGAAAAGCGCCTCTGTCGGAGCGACAACAACTCCATATCCTACGCCAGATATCCGCAGGTTCGTGGAGCTGTGAATGATGTGAGCTTGCAGCAACGTATGTCGCGTGCATCGCCGCCGCTCTCTGTCAAAATTCCGTGTGCGGAAACCTTGCCTCTGCAGTCCGGGTCCGGGTGGCCCGGATCGGGCCATTGATAGATCGGTGAACGTTCAAAGGAAATAATACCAACAATGAGACATCTGTACTCTCTGCATAGAAGAGTGATTCCTGGCTTGAGTTCAGAGAGCTGATCGGGGAAGCGAGTCAAAACTCGTTTGCCAGCCTAAGGGACGTGGGGAGGCAGGAAGTCGAAACATTTGAAAGCCGCGCGCGTCCATCAGGCGATAGTTCGTTCTTCCTCCGCTGCGCGAATTCTCTGCGCCGCGACTCTGCACGAAGGGCGCTGTCGTCGCCCGCTGATTTGTTGTTTACATTCTGGATGTGTGAGAGCGAGCGGCTGTTTCAGTCGTCTTGAGAGGTACAGCGTGGGAAAACGTTGTCCTTGTCAATCACATTTGGAACAACTGAAACTCTCTGATAGTTGATTGAATCTCCTGAGGAGCATTCCATTACGTGTCATAAACTGCAGGTTGTACGGCGCGGCCCCCTGGTTGCTTGCTTCCCCACCCGAGGTAATAGAGCGAAACAGATTCGTTTGTGATTGAATGTTGCGGGGAACACTGTTTCTCGAAGATTAGCCGAGTGGGATCAGGAAGGCAGACTACTAAAAGACCTGGAGGACCTCCAATTCGGGGCTTTCATCTTGTCAGAGAAGCGAGCCGTATCACGCACAATTTATTTCTTGTGTGGTATTGTTCGGAATAAGGGCGACAGCGGCTGCCTCCGAAGACACAGTGAGCTCGTGATAATTTTTTAACGGTGGAAGCGGCGGAGGATGACATCGGGTCGGCTTCACTTCCTGGATGAGCGATGGCAGTCCTCGTCTGTAGTCTCGCGAGAAGGGAATGCGGGAAACGGGGGAGTCGCCGTTTTTTCTAGCCGTCAGGCTCCCTGTGTCTGACATCGACCGCTTCGGAGAAACTCGCGGCAAGTTCACTGGTTGTCAAAACCAAGTTGTGAGAGTCCTTGTTCTCGATCGTCCTGCCGGCATGCTTTGGAAGGTTCGATCGCGTCATTTCTGAGTTGTATGAGATCTTGCCAGTGTAGCTGGATAACATGCGAGCGTCGAACGAGTGTCTCCGCAGTATCTCGAGTCGAATACTGCTGGGAGAGACTCTCCCTCCAGGGATACGGGCACCGATCAGAACAATCGTTCATTTGTATGTTCGAATTGAATATGTACATATGTATTAGTATGTACTTCGTTCCTTAGTGAAGGGTGAATCGATATAGCTCGAGCCAAACCGACCACATGATCAAATGATTCGGCCGTCTCGATCCTCCGCCCCGAAATTTTGATGCCGAATTTTGGCGCTCGTTCTCAGATATCGATCCAGCGAAGAGTTCCCCGAAGGATCCGGTGACCCCAAAAGATACACGCAGCGAGAGACGGAACATTCGCGGGGAAACTCCACTGCACGTCGCATGTATCAACGGTGACTACGAACAAGTAAGACGAGGGTTCACAGCATTGCGCTTTCTTGGAAGACATAGCCTTACTGTAGTATGTAAGGATGCTACTGGAGAAATGCGGTTCGCTCTCCAGGTGAAACGGCTCATTGAACAAGGAGCGAGCGTCAACACCTCGGACCATGCGGGGTGGACCCCACTCCATGAAGCGAGCAACAGAGGTTGGTATAAAGTTGCGAGACTGCTGATAGCTTCCGGAGCGAACGTCAACGCACGCGGTCAACTGAACCAGTTCACCCCGCTCCACGACGCTGCAGTCAATTCGCACCTACAGATTGTGAAGCTGCTTCTCCGCTACGGCGCAGACTCCGAAGCTCTGACCGCAGACGGGAAAACGGCTCTCGAACTTTCCACACATCCGAAAGTCGCCGAATTCCTCTCACAATGCCATTCCTCGGTCAACTTTGAGCACAAAACTTCCCCACCTGGAACCCCTCGCGCACCTCTCTGTACGTATCCATTGCGCGAGAAAAATCGCACCTTCTGCTCCCGCATGCTCGATCGAATCCAATTCTGCGTTTGATTTATTTCGCGACAAGAATCGATCCCATCTCGTGTGAGCTCAGCACGATGTCCGCGGACTCCCTGAACGAAACAAGTTCCGAATTTTACAGTCGGTGGCTGCCGAAGAGGACTCTTCAGAGCTGACTCTCAAGACATCGAACCCGACGGTCGGCACGAGAACGTCTTCACTGACACCGGAGCGGTTCTGGACATGTCCGAGCCGGTAACGTCCGAAACCCCGGAAACGCCAGTCATGTCGGCTAACCAAGGTGCTCCGAATGTTAAGGAAAAATCTGTTTCCATGTCAGAAGAAAGCGCGACAAATCGCAGTCCGAGGTTGGTAAATGATCAAGATACGCCATTTCATTGCAACTGTTCTCTCATCCGCACGTTTGTCCGAGCTCGCCAGGGCATCCAATTTCTCTGATTTAGATCACCTTGTATTCTGACCGAATTATTTTTTCCACCAGTACTGCTAACAGCGCTGAAGATACGCAGCCGAAAGCGACGCAGTCATCTGGGGAGAGCCTCGGGAATGAAATCTCAGACACAGAGGCTCAAAATGTCGCATCGGACCTCCTAATGGCGAGTAACTCCGATGCAGAAGCGAACGCTGCCGAACGAGAGAATCCGTGTGGCAGCTCGGATTCGGCGGGAGCTCCCGGTACGAAGGACGAGAAGACAGAGGACTCGGATACGGCGGAGTCTGATCAGAAGTCCTTCCAGGGTAAGAAACGACGTCGCAGCGTTGAGAAAGATGTTTCACCAGCACCGGGCAGCTCGATCAACGACCGCCAGACCGCTCCCGAAAAATCGAAGACCGAAGGAAGCAAGGCAAGCGCTCGTTCGCCGAGACCGAAAAAACAGAAGGGCGCACGGAAAGAAGAAAAGACACAGCTTCCAGCCGCGTCGCTCGAGGACTCTTCGAAGGACGACGTACCGGATCAACTGAAGACGAGCAGCAACGATAAAAGCAACAGCAGCTGCAGCAGCGACGTCGAGGCTCAGGACAAGGATGCTGCAGATGGACTCAAAGTACCCCCTCTGAAAATTGTCTTACCCCAGTTGTCGGGGGAGAAAGAAGTGACAAGCGATGTGCCAGCAGTACCGGCTACGAAAGGGAAACAATTGCCCTACATCGTCAATAGCCCGCTCGCAGGTCAGTAAGCTTTCTTGATATGAGACTCTCTCCGGTTTCCGCATTGATTGCCCTGTCCATTTGTCCCCGGTGGGAGAAGACTCGCACTCCGAAAATGAATGGTCGGAAAATAACGCACGGGCCAGATCCGTCATTGCACCACATCTTGTGAACATCCGCTCTCAATGCCCTCTGAAGTTCTAAGCCTTCTTTTTGCGCTACTCTCCGATCCTGGTCGCTGTGGGAATCGCTCAAGTGATCTCAACCGGTTTAAGATGACCATTCTTCGTCCGTGCGGACAAATATTCATTCTGACGAATTCCAGCAGGTTCGCCCCAGCCTCCTAGCCCAGCTTCGAATTCCCCTCTTGAGACAAAAGAACAAAGGGAAGAAAGTAAACGTGTGACCCGGAGCAGCCAGAGGGCCCAGCTGCACGATAACGATGATCAGGTAGACACTATAAGCACCCCGAATCTCCTGATGGACGAGACACGCTCCGTAAGACTCAGAATGACCGTCAATTACTTTCAGTCCGAGGAAGTCATGGCCCCGACGACGGGGAAAACCCATCCTCGCAAGAGGAAAATGAGGAACACCAGAGGCACTGCCGCTGCGGCCGCCAATCAGAGGGATTCGGGTAGAGCATCATCGACAGTCGGCAACGAGAAGTAAGTTCCTTTTACCGTGAGGTCAGTCCGCGGTCGATAGCCTCTTGGTGGCGATTCGCGGCCGTCCAACAATACCGCAGTACTGGAGCTGAGACTCTCAAGGTTGATCGGACGCCCGTTGGGAATTCGGGGGCCTGACCGGCACTTCAGATGGACCTCGACCACAACCCCCCCCTCGGCGAGACTTGCGGAACTCTAAGCATTTTGTGGCACATGATTCGAGAACTTCTGCGCTAGCAGAGCGATACACTCAATACGCGCGAGTGGAATGGCCTCACCGAGCGCGGTTATTGTTTCAGACCCTGTACGGCCACGAACGATGAAGAGACCCAAGAGTCGCTGCCTCCCCCAGAGCCCACCCCAACCAGAGATTACTTTGGGGAGCCATCCACAATGTTCAACCCCTATCAAGCGCTGAAGAATATCCGCCGCGCGGTCGATAAACGGCGAATCGCTCAGATTGAAACAACCATCACACCTGAAGCACCTAAGCATTTCAAGAAATTCCTTCTGAACAAGTGAGCTCTCCGAGAGATCGGATCATGGTAGAAGTTATCGATTCGATGACGGTATCGAATGTCAGAAGACTAGAATAATCCCCGGCGCAAGACACTCAAGCCGATCTTACAGATGCACCTATGCCCTCGATGGTAGTCCAGCGTCTCGTTTGAGCGTGCCCCGCTTCCCACCCCCGTCAACGCTTCCGGGTGAATTGAGAGATCTGTTCCAGCAGCAGGAGGAGGAGAGATATCGCCTGCGCCTTCAACATGTTATGGAGAAAGACAAAATTATTCTGGCTTGCGAGCAAGAGATTCTCCGGGTGAATGCTCAAGCAGCCCGAGCTACGGCAGGACAAACAGTTAGTATCGCTCCCGCGAGCTTGCTCCATCCCTGTGGAGGCCGCTGAAGACATTGTCCAATGAATCGAATCTTTTCTACAATTGCAGATACCCCTCTCCGTCACGTGCGTTCTGAGGGACCTCGAAATTTACAACACGCTGGATCCCGAGTCGAATTTGTACAATCCCCGAACCGGCATGACAGCAACTAATCCGCTACTCGAGAACGACAAGAAAGATTTGAGTCGTTACAATGGACGCGTATTCACATCTTGGCTCCAAGATGTTGAGGATAAATGGGAACGGAATAAGGAGGCAATGCTATTGAGGCACCACAGCGAAACCGAAGCTCTGCGAGCCGTGCAAAAGATGGACTGGGAGTGGAATGCCAAGCAACGACTTGAAGAAGCGCCGAAGACTCTACCAGTCGACAGTAAAACCGACGTTCGAGAGGGGCTTTGCGCGCTGGATATCAATATCTGCGTTCCCATGGTTGAAGTGAATGATGATTTCGAGCTACTGCCGTCGTGAGAAGTTCTTATCAAAGGACTCAGCGATCGCTCGCCCCGATATTGTTGCTTCGTGAGATGCTTATCATTCTTTCATCTCCGGAGTGAACCAGCTGTGCTCATTAATTAAATACCGATATTTCCCAACTTCGGGTGACGAGTTCCATTCCCGGCCGATCTGACTGAGTTCGGTTCCCCTTTGTATCATAATTATATAATAATAGTTTGATGTCCTCGGAGAACTTCCCCCCTCTATCTTTCGATGGTTCATACCTAGAAGAGAGCACTTCGAGTCGCCCTCGGATGGGACAATTACCGCGTTCGGCACGCGGGCGGTGCGGCGCGAGGATCATGGAATGATGTCTGGAATGAATCACCGGAGAGCAGGTGGACCCATGGGATCTGGTAGTAGGTACCCATACTTCGTATTGCTACCCGCATCCCGTATCCTATTGGCGCTCCGTTCCGCCTCACCGTGGACTGGCAGATCGTTCCGCCGGGTGGTGCATCCGACAGAAACCATCCGGCTGTTATTCGTTCCGAATCTGAGGTTAGCGGAATTTCAGGTCTCTCGGTCGGAATCCTGTTTCACGGAGAGCTTGACTGGACCATCAATAGAATTTCTTTCTGCATGGCCCCCGCGGATTGACTTCTTTCCTAATGAGAGTTCACCTCATGCATCATGAAATCCTGAGCGTCAGAAAATCGGGGCTAGCGAACCCGTTCGCCGCCGCGTCTCCCGGAGGGCACCCTCAATATAGGACAGTGTTGTTTTCCTCATCGAGAAACTCGCCCGCTTATTTCCCAGCCTCCGAGGGGGCGCCCGTCCATCGGAAAAATCCCCGCGGGTGGGGGAATTCCTTTTCCTCCCCACGCTGGTCTTGCTCATCGCGACAGAAGAGCACTCGGAGTTTTGACGGCGAAATCCACCTTGCTTTATTTTGGCATGAAAATTTCGATTCACTTATCCAGATAGTATACCTATATGGAAAGGTCTGATCGGAGAGGTATCTGTTCGAGACGCATGACGTACGGCTCCCCTATCAAGTCGGAATCGATGTTCCAATCGACCACACTATGAATATCGCACCGATACTGGTAATGATATTAAGCAGTACCTGATGTAATACTCAAAGCGGAGGCGTACTCTCAGAGGGCAGAGAACGTGATAGCAATCGGAGTGATTCCGACTGTGGGCGCGGCGATTCGAAGGGAGAAACGTAAGACGCCCAACTCTGTTAGTATTATCATGGAGAGATACAAAAATCCTACAAGATAATCGAAGGATAATTCGGAGCTTGAGCAGGGAGTCCTCAAGTCTGTGATATCACGAGAAGAGTTCGGAAATTCCAGATACTCGGAATGACGAAGACATCGCATGCTCATCGACAGTCAAAAAGTATACGGCGTATTGATAGGAACGTGTTCAGTTTGGAGCAGCAGCGGAAACCGTGACCTTAGAGCGAAGGCTGAAGTCAAATGAATACAGATGCTTCTTAGGGAGAATCAGACTTTATTCAGCGATCCGTGCGAGCCCCCCGTCCCCTGAAACAGGAGGCGTTGACCCTCGACGCCCAATCAACGAAGCTATGCTGTGTATCGTTTCCGGCCACACTTCGAGCATCACATCGATACTGGTGGTGTCTTTACAACCAGTACCTGATGAAATACTCAGAGCGGGGACGTTACTCTCGTTGCCAAACTTTGCCGTTAATGCAGAAGCCAGTTCTACTGACTCGAAGGAGCATCACACCAGCCTGTTATGAGCTCCGCGGCGGACGCTCTTTGAAATAGGAATTATTTTGATTCGGCTCCCCCAACCGGAACCCTCAGTGATGCGACGAAATAAGAACATGCAGATAGATAGAACAGATACATGGTTCGGGCTCGGAGTGAGCTCGCGATACGGCAGCCATTTCCAGACATTACCTGGGGGAGGAAAGCACCCACTGCGCATGCTTGATTGCTAAGCTGTGCCAAACTAGTCCGGAATGATCGAGTGAGTGTGTTCCATCGGTGCTGAGAAGAGAGGGCCAAAGGAAGGTGCTGTGCGTGGTCACCGAAAGGAAAAGAACCTCAACAGCTATCCCTGGGCGGATCGGAAATAAATCCCCAGAGATACCTATGAGATTGGCTCCCCGGAACCGAGTCCTCTTCTCCCGCAGAAACGGCCACCGGCTTGAGTTCTTGCCCCCGTCGGGAATCTCCACCTCGCTGCGTTGCGTTTGTGTCGCGCCATCAGCTCTGTCCAGGCCTGCGACACATCTTCCTGAAAGGTTCATCTGACTTGAGCGAATCTGACACGATAATAATTGTACGTTTTTTCGTTGAAAGATACGCCGACATGTGTCTGGAGGAGGTTCCAGCGTGATCCAGCAGTTGCCAAAGCCGAAAGATAGCTTCCGAGACGAGAGGAGGCATAAATACATTCTCCATCACCGAAGGTACCCCCCCCCCCTATGGATCTTGCACGGAACGCAGATGGCACGCATCTCACTTTGGCTCCATCGCCGGGAATCACCTGACCTTCTTTTTTTCGATCTCTTCTCTCTCTTCAGATCCTCGGTTGAGCTCATCGAATCACATTCGGTGTCGCAGCAGATTCGCAAACACAGACATCCCTCACTACGATTTGATCCTGATTTGATCTTCGGCCCGTCCCGCGCATAGTTCTACGTACATATGTAGGTACATTGTTCGCTTGTCCTCTCTGGAAGTACAGCTAGCTGGATCCAGGATACAAAATGATGAGCGGAAGACGGACTTTATCCCAAGCTGTCGATGCTGGCTTTGAGCCTCTCCCATGCGTGGTCGAGAAAGGTTCGGTAGAAGCAAACCCCCTGCCGTCAGAAGACTCGGCTGGAAGAACCACCCTAGGAAAATTCACGATTCCCGCCCGAGACGTTCAGAGAGGTTCAGAAAAACACATCCAGCGACACTTTCGCTGAATTAATGTCCCGGAGAGCGAGGAAAACGTCCGGAATGAGCTCCGGGGGGCGAATCCTAAAGTATGGACTTCGGTGTGGATAATCCACTTGCGGACATTTTGAGCTGAGCGGCCACAAGGTGAGACTGTTCCTCCGAATGTGCATGAGTCCGCTGATTCGGTGTTGTGCCTCGGAACAATCTACCGTCACTCTTTCGCCGGCAGAAGTCTAGAATATAACTTGGTACATACCAGGCAAACGTGATTCATCACAGACCGCTGTCATATCATGGTTATGTACGGTCACGTTCCGCAGGCAGAGCTCCTGACTCGGATGGAGCAGTTTACTCTCGTCGACGCTACTACTCGAGAAAGCTCCCCGATTCAAGAGCGGAATAAGCAGGAATTCAACAACATCTTGTGAATCGGCTCCGGAGCGATTCCGGAACGTTTTCCGACCTTTGATTTGGTCGCCGGCCATCTTTAGTGTCCGATACGACCGATACTACAGCGCCTTGGCACTAAAACAAGAGCTTTCACTGCATAAGCCGAACGTTGCTTGAAATCGCCATCGCTCCTCCGTACGGGGATCGACTCACCAAGGAGCTCCGGGAGAGAATCACTCGGTCAGACATGCTGCAGCGACTGCTCGACTGATAAAAACAAGCCTTATGCTCCGTGGAATATTCTGATTAGAAGAGTTACAGCACAAGCTGCCGATGTGTCTACGGCTGCGCGCGGTCTCTCGGAGAACGTGTTCTCCCGTTTTCTCATTCCGCATTGTGTATAACAAAGCAGTTAGGCAGCCAAGCATTCGACTAGTCGGCCGCTGGCAAGTAAGTCAGAGAACGACCGACCAACTGAGCGAGCTAGCGACCGGCCAGCCGGCGTCTGCCCTGTCAGCTAAACTAAACTGAGCCGAGCGAAACTGGCCGCAACCACTTCAGAAGCACGACAACGGTCAGACATGACTTTTTCTCTCTGTCATAGGGAGCGTGGCAAATCGTTTGCGTGTCGAGAGCCATCATGCGACTACCTGACAATCAATGTCGCACACGCGGCACCAGATGCAGAGCCGCACCCAAATTCAAGAAATTTCTTGCCTCAAACGGACTCTTGATAAATTTAATACGGAAATGAAGGATCACGCTCTGTGTGCATTCTACTACTTTTGAGCCCGACTAAACACTTGCCGCTTGCATTACTCGCGGAACGAATAAATGTTTTCCCCCGGAATCCCGGCGGGGGCGGCGAACTCGAATTTTTCGGTTTGACATCGAGCAACAACCCCGATAAGCATTCTTGTCCGTGAGCTCCCGCTTGTTTGTCTCGCGAACAGTAGTCATCGCTGAGCTGCTTGCGGACCGACAGTATCCTAGTGATCCCTATTCTCATACATATACCGACATAAGTCGAAGTCTGACAAGCGTCGCAACAATAAAATGCGTCGAAGATAAAACTATGCGCGTCACTTATATCAGGGAATATTCAATAGAATATTCGATAAACCGAACAATGCGGATCGTGGGAATATCTGTTCGATGAGGGATAGAAGATCGAATCCCCCATCTCACTCCACGGTTGACATAAGAACTAAAAGACTACCGGCAGCCCAGAAAACGCTTGACTAATATATTTCGGCTCCGTTGAGTAAACCGAGTTTCGGCGACGTTCGTAGCGGCGCTGGTGGTAACTCTCCACAAAGCAATACTCTAACAACACGATTCCTGATGTCGGTTGAGAAGCATCTGTGTTCAAATAGACGAACGGCACATCTGTCTGTCTATATCTACCGGCCTGCTCGAACGGCTGAACGTTTGTTCGTCCGCGCGATCGTCTCCCAATGTGTGCTCGTTTGGTCGTCGCTTCGACTTACGGGAAACCGCAACTGAACCTATCCAGACGGAGCTGCTGAACCTGGAGCGGACGGCGCGGCGTCGTGGCTCAACGTACTGGCTCGTTGTCGGAATCCACATCAGCCTATTCCGATGCCTGCCCAGCCGTTTTCGGAACTTTGTCTACATAGACTCGACAAAGTCGATACTTCCGTCTGAGTGGTGGACTCCGTTGCCCGCCGGCGAGCAACTGATCAGTACACGATTCGAGGTCCGTTGAGGACTGCAGCTAATAATGACGGCGTTCACTCCATCAATAATATTCGGCAGATCTTGAATTATGAGCTCGGACTGTCGCCAGTCGACGACCAGCGTCGATCTCGGAAGATCAAGCGTAACTAGAGCTGGCGGAGCCTGTAAAAAGGTGGGCTAGATCCGATTGTTTGCAGACAAGTTCTTGAGATGGGACGGAGCAGCAACC